CCCCGCCGGCCCCCGGGGGGGCCCCCCCCCCCCCAATGTTCCTCACAGGCCGTGTGGGGTGTTGAGGGCACCTTAAGAGGGCTCTTTGTGTGGCAAACCCCACTGCCGGCATCACCCCGGGGACATGGAGGAGACCCAGTGCTTCCTCCTGGTGGAATCTGCAAAGGGAGCCCAGCCCCTCAGCTGGACAGCAAGGGGGTCTGTGCAGGCTGCTTGCCCTCCATGCACAGTGTGTGCTTCTTCCCTCACCTCGTCTCACACCCCAAGAGCAAACAGGTGAAGAGGAATAAAACCAGGCACAGCAAATGGGCATGTTTAGTTTGGAGAAGAGGAGGCTGAGGGAGACCTCATTGCCCTCTACAATTGCCTGAAAGGAGGGTGTAGAGAAGTGGGCGTTGGCCTCTTCTCCCAAGGGAATAATGGCAGGACCAGAGGAAATGGTCTGAAGTTGGGGCAGAGGAGGTTTAGATTAGATATTAGGAAGAATTACTTTACTGAGAGAGTGGTCAGGCACTAGAACAGCCTGCCCAGGGAGGTGGTGGAGTCACCATCTCTGGAGGTATTTAAGAAACGTGTAGACGTGGCACTTCAGGGCATGCTGTAGTGCCTGAGATTGTTGGTTTGTGTCCGTGTGTGGTTTGTTCATGTGGGTTTCTTTTTCCTTTTTCTTTTTTTTTTGTGTGCTTGGACTCGATGATCTCAAAAGTCCCTTCCAACCATGAAGGGACCAACCAAAGACTAAGCTGTGTTTAACTACTGTGCCTTGTTTCCTTTGGATCACTCTGGGCACTCAGGGCAGGTTGTTGCTCACAGTGAGATCAGGAAACTGCTGCACAAGGTCACAGAGAGAAGAGATTTCCTTCACTCCAACCACTGCTTCCTTCTCCCACATCTTTAGTTATTTATGGCAGAGAATCACAGAATGGTTTAGGTTGGAAGGGACCTTAAAGATCATCCAGTGCCACCCCCTGCCCTGGGCAGGGACACCTCCCACCAGACCAGGTTGCTCCAAGCCCCCTCCAACCTGGCCTTGAACCCCTCCAGGGATGGGGCAGCCACAGCTTCTCTGGGCAACCTGGGCCAGGCTCTCACCACCCTCACAGTCAAGAGTGTCTTCCTTATATCTAATCTAATTCTTCCTGCTTTCAGTTTAAAGCCATTACCCCTAAGAGTAACTTAGTTCTCAAGCAAAATCAGGAAAAAGGTCACTGGTAGCAAGCAGACAAATCCCACATCATTTCACTGCAGTCTGTCAGCACCTTAAGCTTTTCAAGGGAAGGAACCTCCTTTTTCCATATGCACGTGCTTTCTCTGCCACGGAGCTTTCTCCAGCCCTTGGTCAGGCGTGGCTGTGATGTCACCTTTCCTTTTCTGCCTGGATCACTTCTTTCCCAGCATCTTTCTAAGGCACTTTTGCCATAATTTCATATCCCACAATTTAGGGTCTTGGCAGGTGGAGAGAGCTGATCTGCAGCAGCCATTAGAGCAGCGCAGGAAAAAGAATAAATCAGCGTTTGGGGTGGTGTTTTTTTTTCAATTTTGGCAACTTTTCTGTAGTACAATGTGTACCTTCCTTTCTGTAGAAGAACACTAAGGGATTACTCAGGACTTGACGAAGCCTGTTATTCACTGATTTGGGATTCAGTAATAAATCACTGCTTGCAGCATCACCATTCCATTTTAGGCACGATTGAGTTTTTGAAATTTGTTATTGATAATCCAAGAATACCTTTGTGCTGCGCTGGTAATGAGGCGAGATGCGAAGAGCTGTCTTCGCTCCTTCGGGGTAGCACCTCACAGCCTGGTGGTTGAAGATGCGTTGAAGAATAAGCACACAAACAAGTGTGTTGCATTCCCATGTGGAGCAGAGGCTGGGTGACTGCTTGCTTTGATCTGCATCCCGGGGACAGTGGCTGGAAGCACGATCCCACCTTTTACTCATGCTGAGTAAGAAGGTTACCCCATCCAAACAGATGACTACACGGAGGATGACTTTGATTTAACCCATGGGCAGGTCAACAAAAGAGAAAAAAACCATGACGGTGTCCAGGCAACGACAGAAGGAATTGTAACACTGCCTTTAGAGGACACCACAGGAGACCTCTTCTTCCGGGATCGTGTCCCACCTGGAAGGGCTCAGGGAGAACTTTGAGGCAGAAAAAATGATTTTGCCATTTTAAACTCCTAGGCTCAAGGAGAAAGGAGCTGGTTGGTATACACTATAAATAAAGAGTAGCTTCAAAGGCACACCATGCTCCCTGAAAGACCCTGAAAAGTACAACTTCATTGCTCCTTCGCTTGGTTACAGTAATTATTTTAAGGGTAATAAGTGGTATGAGTTACTTTTTATCTCAGTTATTATTACATTGACATTGTCTTGTTTCTTTGAAAAGTTATGAAGCATTTGAGAACAAGAAAGCCTTGACCATATCTTCTATGCATTCTTCCTCCAGCCTATTCACGTCAGCAGTCCCAAACTGTATGGAGAAATGTCTCCCTTGCCTTTCAAGGTTGACAATAGAATAAAGAGATTTAATAACCAAACAAAAAACAGATGGCTCCGAGCGGCCTTAAGAAATGAACATGGCTCCTAATGCTGCCCCTTTTCCCTTCCTCTGTGACTGCTCTGTTATGGGGACGTGAGATTTGCAAAAAAAAAAATGTTGCTTTATGATTTACTTTCAGAAACGTGCAGGCAGTGGAGGGGCAGCATTGATTTAATCCATTAGTCACCACAGCCCAATTCCCTTCTTACCCTCATGCTTCTTCAGAGGTTTGAGACTCCTCCACGGGAGAAACACCAGATATTTTTATGTTCACGAGGCTGCGGAGCCCTGTCACTCTGATCTTGACCAGCTTCAGGTGTCTCCACCCTGGCACTGCCCCCCTCTGCTTTACTGAATCTAAAGAGGGATCCTTGAGCTTCCAGGCATGGCTCTACCCCTACACAGGTGGCAAGAGTTAAATTATGGACCAGCACACATTAAATAAGTTTTACTGTGGATCCTTAACGTTTTCTCTCCTGTTGCAGAGTTTGTCCACACCCCCACACGTACAGAATTGAGAAAAATGCCTTCCCTTCGGCTCATCTCGACAACTGTCCACATCCTCTGAGAAAGCCCCAGGTTTTTCTGCAAAACGCCGGCTCCTCTGGTGGGATGAAGTTCTGGTGATGGAGGTCAGAAGGTGTAAAAGCCTGTTTGTAAAATTAGGGTGCTTTCCTGCCCGCTGGGGTGAGCTCTGCTCTGCCAAGTGATGGTTTTTTTACTGACGAGTGATTTATTTCCATGCTCTTTTTCAGCGCTGCCACACAGCGGCAGAATTGAGGCTGCTTCTAAACTGGGAAGAGGCTGAAGGCTCAGAAGATCCTCTTGGGGTAGAAATTACCTGGTTCTCCTGCTAGAGACACCCTGTCATCCTTCAAGGTGTTAACGTGGAGGGTTTTTTCCTTGTCCAATAATACTCCTATTCGTGCTTTTAGGTTGTTTTTCTAAGGAAAACAACCTTAGAGGATGGAGCTCTAAGGAGAGCTGAGGGGAAGGGGATTTTGTGGTCAGTTTACAGTCCTTTCCCCCCCCCAACACAGAACCACATACTGGTCATCACTTTGGCCAAGGTTGGAATTACAAAAATACCAAGTCTCACTAATTTAATGAAAAGAGTTGTCCAGTTAGAAAGAGGCTGAAGCACACGCTTGGGTTATTGTTTGACAGAGGGAAAAGGAATTATGAGTATTTTCACCACAGGGAAGGCTTCATTGGCAAGAACACTTGTCAGACAAGGGGACGTTCAGCTCTGAGCCCAGGAAACCAGCCCGATACATTCTCCTGCCCACGGAGCTCTTTGGTTTTGATGCAGAATGAAAGATGATAAAGCGAAAAATGCCTGTGTAATCAAGAAATCATCCTTTTCTTCATGACATCTGTGCCTCAGAAAAGCAGATCCCACAGCTAGGAGTGGGAGTAGAAAGACTCCGCTTCCTTTGCGTTTTGTTTTCTTTCGAGCTGAAAATGAAAAAAAAAGGCTGAAACGCTTGAATGTTTCAACATTTTCCCCAAAGTTAAAGCCACAGAGTTGAATAAATTTTCCAAATTCAACCAGTTCTGCAAGTGGTTGAAAATATTCAAAAAATTTCCACACAAATTCACCCACTCTTTTTTTTTCTTTTTTTTTTTTTTTGCAGAATGTTAATTCATCTATATTTGAAACGCGAACACATTGAACCAGCTCTATTTTCACATATTTTCTCTATTTTATTGTACTTTTTAGAGTACCCTTCCATGTTCTGATGATGAACTGAACATTAAACCAGACGGATGAGCAGCAAGAGCACAGAGGCTGCCTGCCTGGGGCTGACCTTATGAAGGACCACTCTGAGAGAACAGAGTTCTGGCCAGGTAATTATTTCCAAACACGGACCAAGCTCTCTGCAGTCCCTGGACAAGGTACAGCATCAGAGCCCTGACCTCATTTCCAGAGTCTGCATTTATGAAATGCCAAGAGATTATGCAGAGAGCTCTCCTGCCTATAATCATTTGGGGCAGGAGACATGAAGTCATTGTCCTAAAGCCCAAGGTGAAATCAGACTGACCCTGAAAGTCCCAGGTAGGCCTTGGGCTGCATTTTGTACTGTCTTAAGAAGAAAAACGGATCCTGCCTGATTTATTTGGCTGTTTTCTGGCTTCAGCCTTTTGGGGAAGTTGGTATTTAGAATTCCACACAGAACAGTTTTCTGGGCTTCGGTGTTAGAAGAATGAAAGTCAAGAGCTAATGACTTTTCTATAGCTCTGGATTTCGTTCCAGGAAGACAATCCATGCGTCAATGCTTCCTCCTACAGAAAGATCTTCCATATTAGGAGAAATAATTCAACCCTACCTGCCTAAAGTGAAGGTGCCACTGACTTCCCAGAAGCCAGACTGGGC